TTTATGATGTCTGTCCCTGACATTCCTGACATTTGTGCCTCTCACAGCATTAAAGGAATAATTTAAAACAAACGGTTCACAGACCTCATTGCCAAGTTTTTATTGGAATGACTTTCTGTTTCCTTATTAAATGAAGTGGTCCCTATAAAAACTGTTGTCACTGAGGTCTGTGAACTATCCAGAGTGGACATTGTTTATGAAATAGTCACTTACATTACGATCATCAGGCAGATGCTTTTGTCCAAACATTACTTACAGTGCATTTAGACAACATAGAAGGAAGAGGGAGATATCATCCAAACTAGGGGCTGTATTATTTTAATGACTTATTTTTAAATGATGTATTTGTAAGATATCAGTCGATGTTACTAAGAGATTTTGAGATGTTGCCTGAAAGTTGGGTTTTAAGCCCATGATGTCAAACTGGCCAGTGTCTCTGCTTCTGTCAGTGTGCAGGTTATTTCAGAGCCGTGGAGAAGAGCCTTGACACATGTCCTTTGAGTGATGGGAAAGCTAAATGTCCCCAAGGCTGAGGAGCACAATGGTCCAGCTGAGGTGTAGAGTCTGGTTCAGGGTTATGATGGAGGTGCTGTTTACTTCACTGTCCTGAAGGCCAGCACCAGAGATTTGAACTTGGTGAGAGCAGTGACAGTGGTGAACAGAGAAAAGGTGAGGTTTGGGAAAACTTGGGGAGGTTGAATACAAGATAAGCAGCTTTTCTGTTTCATATGATTGTAGAAGGAAATATTTAGGGGGCATGGGACATTTGGTGCAGCATTTGAGCTGTCCCTGCACAGCAAGATGGTTTCTGGATTAAAATCCTGGTTTGGCTTAGTCTCTCTCTATGCAAGGAGTTTGCATGTTCTCTTGTTCTCGTGGATTTTCCCTGGGCACTCCAGCTGCCTCCCACACAATCCACAAACATGCAGATTATGGTTGTGTTAACTGTAGACTATTTATTGACCATAGGTGTAAATGTGAATGTGAATGGTTGTTTGTTCCTGTATGGTAGGATGTTGCATGCCTGTGTGCCCCAATGTCAGCTGGGATTGGCCCTGACCCCCACGCAACCCTCGAGGGATAAGTGGTATATAATATGATGGATGGATAGATATTTTTGAGGTTAGCAAAGAACATGACATTTTAATATGTCCATTTAGACTAAATGGCAAATGAATAATTTAAGAATCAATAATATTAATAGTCATTAGGTGCATCACTAAATCTTTCCAATGCTTTAGCAGCTATAGCTCTTTTTTATTGGGGTGGTGGAAAAAATATAAAAACTTGGCCAAAAACAATCTGCATGCTTTTTTTTGGTAATTTTCATTGACTGACACTTTCACTATATCTAAGCTGAACTAAATCAAGATTTACCTTAAAAAGCCTTAATTATGAGGCAGCAGGCTACAATTTGGTTGAGTTTAGGTCAACCCTGTTCTGAAAAGCTTTCCAGGACTTTGTCAGTTCACTTTCTGTGAAACCAATCTCAATGATCAAAACTGACGTGCTGAGAATAGTTATAGTAAAAAACTACTTTTAAATTCTGACAGGTTTTTGCAATGAGAGAAATAACTTTAAATAAAGCTCAGAATTCAAACACAGCTCATATTAAGCATATTTGATCATTCAAGTGTATAAATGGGGCCTTTTTAATCCTTCATATGGTCCAGAGGAGACAAGTTCAGCTCCTTGACCACAAATCTCACACATTACCAGGCCTAACTTAACCTGCAAGCAGAGAACTGAGCCTGTGTGTGTGTGTGTGTGTGTGTGTGTGTGTGTGTTTTGACCTGGTCCTGTCTGGCTTTGATGGACACTCTAATGGGAGCCTTGGACGAGCAGTTAATTGAATGGGCCACTGCTGAGGAGGAGGATTGCGGTGCTCTCCTTGTGTGGGTGGACTCTAATAGCTTGGCCAGGCTCGCTGCACAGCCACTCAAGGTTTAGAGCTGAGAGAACGTGTTGGGTTTATATGACTCCTGTCAATTCAAATCGCCTTTTGTAGATTCCATGAAACAGTGTGTGTGGAGGTTAATTATCCACAGTACAGGAGGACGTCTTGTGTCTGTCAGTTCTCTTGAAGCTGCTCAAATTCAGACCAGTGGGCAGTGAAGCAGCTTTTCTATCTGTGTCCCTTCACACGTTTCTAAGATGTGAAATGAGAACATGGTCAGAGATTGGGAGATCGTGTGAGGATTTCTTCACTGTGATTTCCCCTCCAGAAAACCAGAGAGAGATACATGACTGTTTGTGTGTTACTATGTGATGATACATAACAATAAGCTGCTGAATATTTTGAGTAGCTAAAGACGTTTTCAGGCATGAACTCTGGAAAATACCTGGGATATTGGGTCTGGACATTTTCTGGTGTCTTTTACATATGAAGAACATATAAAGTAGTAGAGGAGTAGAACATACAGTTCCCGTTATCTTTCCATGTTGACATCTTGGTGGGTGTTTTTTACGTGAAGGGCGCTTCTATATCATCGTGAGATATTTGAATTCCTTTTTTGCTAAAAATGTCATCAACACCCATTTGCTCTCTGTGAATTTTTCTGGATATTTCCTTTCTGTATTCTCAAATGGGTTCCCTCAGACACTTTCCAGAAATTTTACAAGGGGCCTGAAAAAGTTTTGGAAATGTTGGGAGCAACTCACTTGGACATTTGTGTTCTCACATACAGCACCTCTGTAAGAATTCCAGGAAAACATGAGAATTACTCATTTACTAAACACTGCTGCCGCTAAAACCAGGAGAAAGTTGGACTGTCACTTCCCAGCAAGTGCAGCTGATGACTTAAACGGCCTGTTTGGAGTTGGAGATGAAGCCGAGCACAACAAAGCCCTTCAAAAACGCACACTTCTGTCCAGCAGCATCAAATGCAGCAGCTGAGCTCCCTGTGACAAATATAGGAGAGCCTATAGGTAAACACATGAATAAGCGGATTTAGGTTGCAAGAAGGCAGTGAAAGATTTCTCTCTCAGGGAAATAAACTCTTTTTGTCACATGCAACGCAGAGCTTCCACGTGTTTCTGCAGTCCTGAGTCGACAGAGACCGATGGACTGTCCCTTCGTCTCTTATCGGAGCTTCTGCAGCCCCAAACGTCTGGCTGCAAGCCTGCTGAGACCTTCTGTCTCCTTCTCTCTGAGACACACGTGCACGCACACACACACACACACANCACGCACACACACACACACACACACACACACACACACACACACACACACACACACACACACAATGTACTTCCTCACACTTACATTTTACATAGTTTACATGAGTAGTATAGGAATCTGCATACAAATATGGATGCTGCTACAGCTGAGGCTTTATATTTATATGTTGTCCCTCCGTGACATTCTGGTGGACCTGATATCTCAACACCTGGAGGGGACATCTTAAAATCTAGCAGAAATGGACTCAAGGATAAAAATGTTCAATTATGGGGATTAAAGGTCACTGTGACTTCACAATAAAATACCATATTTCCTGTTTGGTCTGATCCTGAATTAGTGACCCTAATCTTTGGTGCCCACGTTGAAACTAACTCTTATTACCAGCACATATATTTCATGAGTCTGGTCAAACATGATAACAAATTTTGGTATTGTCGGCCTCAGACAATGATTCCTACACGCTCGAGTGATACCTCAGTCTGAATATTGTCTACAGCAAAACATTTGGTATAATTTGCCAGTTATTTATGTGAGACTATCTTCTGGCCAGTTATTACATTTACGTCCCCATGGCTACTATGAGAACTAATTTTGGGCATCAGTTTTTATCTTTCCAACAGTTTTCTCCTTTTTGCACTTAACATTACAGCTTCCAGCTGCTACCAAAGCTGAACACTATTATCATTGTTATCTATCATAAAAGCCACACATGCAGGCACTCACAGATTTTACAAGCATTCAAGTTTCGAAGTGCAATTAGATTTTCATAATTGCTTCATCTGTCAAATGTTTTTTAAAGTGAATTTAACCAATTTGTTCGTCCATAAAATGCCACAATGCAGCGGGAAACACTCGTTACCAGCTCCCAGCGTCTTTGTCTCCAAATTGTTCACTTTCTCAGAAAAACAATCATGTTTCATACACACACACAGACAGAACTAGTACATATCTATAAATTAACTAGCACAGGTAATATTCCACCTCTTCTGGGCTTTCTCCAGATAACTGGTTCATTTGTAAGGTCTCATTACCTCAACAGTACAATTTACACTTTTTTCATCAGGAGTTGCAGACTTTAAAGTTTTGACTGCCCGTATTCATCCCTGCTCTAATGAAAAAAGTGCATCCATCTGTAACAGACCTTCTACCTTTATGTGTGCTATATAAATCATTATGACATATTGTTCCGGTGTCGTTGCCATGGATTTCCCTGACTGGACTAAAAACCGAAACTCCTCTCACCCTTTTCATTTTCTCTGTCCTCTGTCGGGGCAACGTGTCGACCAGCTCCTGTTCATTAGTTCACACTTGAGTTCACTGTGTCCTCTCCTTCGTTCCCTGCTCCTGTTTGCTCGCCTGCTTTTTCCCCCTGAGGCTCGGGAGGCGTTTCAGAGCAGATAGAAAACACAGCACAGAGGAGTGCGGCTCCAGTGTTGTGTTGCTGATATTTTATTAAGTCTTATCAGGCCACTGTCTCTCACTTACCCACTACCTTCTCCCCGGTTCCAGACCTGAGAATGTCATTCAGCCTTTATCTAAATTTACACAACACCTGCAGCCACGTGAGGGGGAGCTGTGAGTCTTGTGGGGGTTTGACGTGTAGCTTATGTTTTTAAAATATGCAGCATAATCTAACCCATCCTCTTTAATTCCAGCAGTTTGATTTTACTTCCTCCCTAACCAGCTGGTTGCAAATCTCCATTTTACATACTTTTTCATATTATCTGATTTTAATCCTCTTGTCGTTTTGCCTTCTACATTCCTCCTCTGCCACATACTTCAAATTCCCCAACTCTCTTCTCTCTTTCTCCCTCAGTGTTGTTGCGGGAGGAGGTAGCCCAGCTTCAAGAGGAGGTCCACCTGCTCAGGCAAATGAAGGACATGTTGAGTAAGGACCTGGAGGACACACAGGGCGGCTGCTCCTCTAATCTGCTCTCAGCCACCGAGCTCCGAGTGCAGCTGGGAGACAAGGAGCAGGAGCTGGACCGTGCCAAAGAGGCCTTACAAGGTCAGGGGAAAACAGCAGTGGAGGAAGTACTCACACAATTTACCTCAGTAAAATACAAATACATAGACAAAAATGTACTCAAGTAAAAGTAAAAGTGCAACTTTAACTTTTCTACTCTAGTAAAGGTAAAGGCTTTTAAATATATTGAAAGTATCAAAAATAAAGTATGTTTCGAGAGTAGCCTATTCCCTCTTGCAACAGTCACAGAGCCTCCTCTGAATCCATTTCAGGTGTTTCTTCACTGGTGAGTGCTGCTGCGACAGGAAGCGGAGTCTAACGTTACCTGTCCTAGCTCTTTGTAAAAAACCGAGTGGAGTAAAATACATTCTGATATATGTTGTGGAGTAAAAGTGAACAGTATCCGAACGTAAATCTACTCCACTAGAATACATATACATGAAAAATGTGTTTAAGTACGGTAACAAAGTAAATGTATTGAGTTATATCCCACCAGTGGTCAGGCATCTGGTTGCCTCACGTCAGCACCACACTCCCTTCTTTCCAGCAGCTGAGTGTAACTTGTGTGAATATAAATCACGCAGGAAATTGTTGGAGCTGAATTAAGTCTACTATAACTCAGTTTTTGTGCATCATTAAAAGTGCATCTGAGTAAAAGTTGGTGTGGACCGCAGTAAATTTTTATGTGAATAAATATAGTAACTCAAATTAAACAGCATAATTATCCGCACCAAAATCATATGACATCATTGTAGATATTCAGAGTTTTGGTTTAAATCCAAATGTCATCAGCTCCCTTTTACCCTGAAATCCAGGTTCGGGGTTCACCTCTGACGAGCTGATGTAACTCAGTTTTGTCAAAGGTGTGAAACATGTGCTCAAGGAGGTTTAGTGAGGGGAGACGTTAGGCAGAGTTTACATGCAAGTGTTTCGACATTGTGCCGTCTCAGAAATGGGCGTCGCCCCTGACAAGCAGCCAAGCAAATTCCAGATCCGCCTCATTTTAATTAACATCCATCACTCACAGATACAGAAACTTTAGAGTGGAATATTAATGTGGTATATTTGGACTGGAATGTGCTGCTGATTGGGTAATATTGGTTTGTTTCATGTTATGTGTGAAAACTAATTAAGCTGTTATGCAATCAAACAGTTGGGAGAGGAGTAAAAAAAATGTCAGTGTCCTGCATTGATTTAGGGGAAACTGAAAACTGCGTGTTGAGTTGAGTTGAGTTTAACTCCACTGTTTCCTCGCATGCTTCTCTCCTGTGCTTGGAGATTTACAGGTGTTCAACTGCCAGCTTGTAAACTGCTCCATGCAACTGCTGCAAAACAGGTTTGAATGTTTATAACATGAAGACTCTGGATGTTGACAGCAGGAAACGCTTGTTGAGTGACATATGTGTGCAGCTATGAAAAGTACAGGGGCCAGACACGTCTCTTCCTCCTCAGCTCAAACTCTCAGGAGAGCGCCGGAGTTATTTATTTTTTTCATCTGCACAGAACCCCAATGGTTGCATCATCACCGTTGAGGTTTCTCTGGGAGAGAGTGAAGTTGAAAGAGATCAGATCCAATCTGTCTCGTCACGGATGAGCCATCAGAGTGTGCACATGCCGACTGAAACAGTTTCATGTGTGAAGGAATAAGTGGCACTTATCTTTTGAGATGATTACATCATTTTCTTCAGGCCATTTCTGTGTGAACAGAAAAAAAACAACACACCACCACCACCAGCTGCTGCTGCTCATTAACAGAAGGCACAGTGTCACCTAGTGGCTCGCTGCTGCAACTATATCGCTTTGTGTCTGAGTGGTCCACATCAAACTCTTACTCACTTGTTGGTTTGATTGTGTCGTGTTTGTCAGTGAAATCCTCTGTTAAAATGCTCCTTCATACGCACGTGCATGTGGTGAAAGTGTGTGTTTGTGTTGCAGCTATGAAAGCTGACCGTAAGCGTCTAAAAGGGGAGAAGGCAGACTTGGTGAGTCAGATGCAGCAGCTGTACACAACACTGGAGAGCAGAGAGGAGCAGCTACGAGAATTCATTCGCAACTATGACCAGCACCGAAAGGTAACACACACCCCCTCAGCCGGCTCATGTTTCCAACAATATTCAAACCCAGAGACATTTTCAGTTTCATTTTGGACGCCTTTATTTTTTGCGCCATATTTCCTTAACCTTTGGATTTGTCCGTCTCTGCTTTAAATTCCAGAGCAAACGGTTTGTGACGAAGGAAAAACACACTGATAAACATTTAGCCAGTCAGCTCCTTCCACTGTTCGTGTTGTTCACCAGTGGTGGATCATGTTTATTCTTCCCTTTTTGCTGTGTAACATAAATTAGACTTTCACACATTATCTCATCTATGAACATGACACGTCAGTTAGAAGTCAAAAACTCCCATGATCCCAAGCTGCTCCACGACATCATCAAACTGGGTGTTTTGTTATTGTTATGATGGAAAAACTTTGAGGCCAAAAGTTTTTCATTTAAGAAAGGAATTGAGTTATTTAGATTAAAATTCATCAATTGTATTGTTGAACTTTTTGAATTTATTTGAACAAACTTTATTGATTTGTT